TCTTCCGTCTGAAAATCGCGCTTGTATCCTCTGAGCCAAAACTCGTTCTGGACGAAAATGCCGTAGTTGCGGGAGTTCCACGGGTTGGTCGGGTCGACCAGCTTCCAGTCGTATCTCCTCAGAAGCTGCAAGTCCAAAAGTTAGTCAACCCGTCTTCCTTTAGCTTATCAAGGGGGGGCTTACCTCGACAAAGATCTTCCTCAACTCCATCAAAGCCACGTCGCGGCCCAGGCACTTCCACTTGCCGTACCCAAACACCAGCTCCAGGGTGCCCTCCATCTGCTTCAACCGGTCCGGCTCCGCCTCCAGCCAGCGCTCGGGCCGGAACTCGAGGGCATCGGTGCCCCACACGTCGGTCCGGTGAAACATGCCCCACGCGCCGTACCCGATCCGCGTGCCCTCCGGCAGGTACACGCCCTTCCACGTGTCGCCGCCCTTGGGCACCTCCTTAGACATCTGGCCCACGACGGGCGGGAAGATGCGCAGGCCTTCCTTGATGACGGCGGCGAGGTAGGGCATCTCGCGGGCCTCGGATTCGGTGATGATGGGCAGCGAGGGCTTGGTGGCTTCGATCTCGGCGCGGAGAGTGGCGACGACGCTGGGGCTGGTGATGAGGTGCAGGAAGGTGCCGCGGATGGCGGTCGCTGTTGTGTCGGAGCCGGCGAGACTGAACGAGACGATTGTGAGTATTTCATATGCTTTGGTGTTGAGCGGAAGGCATGGGCTTACATCTGCATGAGGATCTCTGAGGAAGCTTCTTCTTGGCTGAGACCGTGGGCGATGAAGGAGCCGAGCATGTCTCTCTGGGTCTTCTTCTCCGGTCCGAATCGCTCGGCGACAACCTTCTTGGCAATGCTGTCCATGGTCAGCTCCCGTCACTTCATGGTAGCCACATTACGCTTCTGTGCCGATACACACGGAACAGCTTCTTGGGAACTCACCCAATAGTCTTGCCAACACCAATCGCATCTTTCTCAGAGGGCAGCATGCTCCTGAAGAGCGGCGAAGACATAAGCGACAACAACCAAGGCAGGACGGCGGTCAACACCACGTTGGGCATGTTATGCTCCATGGTGTGGATGTACTCGTGCACATCCGAGTCGCTCGCCAAGTCACCAAAGGGTTCGCCAAAGGCCAGGTCGGAGATGACGTCGAGGGTGAAGTACTGGGCCTTGAGGCCAAAGTCGAAGGGCGTGTTCTCCGACACGTACTTGTCGATGAGGCCCATGAAGCGGAGGATGTTCTCGTTGATCTTGGACTCGAAGTTGTCGACTTCCTTGCCGGAGTACTGAACCAAGAATTAGCCCAACAGGTCTCTCCAACCACATTCCGCGGATGCGACATCACTTACACCGGCAGCCATCTGCGCCCTCAGCTTGGAGTGCAACTCATTGTCCCTCACAGACAAGACGTTGTCCTTGCCGGGGTCAAGCCTCATGGCGTCGTACCATCTCGACCGCTTGTAAGTCGTGCGCACGCCCAACATGCGCTTCCACAGCTCCGGGTCGCTGGTCATGAGATCATTCGGCCCAACCCGCACAAGCGATCCTATCAAAAGACAGACAAGTCAGCAAACACACCTCTCTCTTTACTTCTGTTACACACAACAACACCGGACGTCTGCTGGATCGTTTGAGCATCGTTACACATACCGTACTTGAGGAACGCATCGTAAAAGTCGAGATGCTGGCGGCCGCCGTACACGGTCCGGACGAGCCACCACTTTGAGAACCCCGCGCCGGGCGGGCCCTGTACGTGCCGCAGACGCGCATACTGGCGGACGACAGACGTCACGGCGTACAAGACCAAGATCGAGAATGCGACGGTCGCATAGCTGGCCAGGCTGTGGCGCAGCAGCGGCTCCTGTTCGTTCGGACGACTAGCATCGACACTACTCATGGCAGCGTGCACGAACTCGACGGTTTGATTCATGTTGTGCATTGTGTAAGAGAAGGGAAAGAGGGAAAAAAGAGGGACAAAAGAGACGGAAAGGAGGGAATGATCAACACAGGAAAAAAAAAATAAGATAACAAAAAAGACTGAGCGTTTCGTCTGGATGGTCGCGTCCGTGTTCCCGCGCTACTGGGAAGACCTAGGAAACGGGGGGTGGTGGGCAACAAAAATCGACGAGGGAGGAAACAATAGTCTGGGACGAGACGGCCGGTATATGAAGAAACCTTGGAAAGGATAAGAAGGTTAAATTCGGCATATGAGACACCAAAACACCAGGGCTCCAGTTCGTCGAGACCAGCAATACGGGCAGATCATTTTAAAAGATCCATGAGGACGGGGGGGAAGGGAGGGATTGATAGGGGTTCAGCTGTCCGTGCTTCACGGCGGGTGACTTGGTACAAGATTCCGGGTTGCCATCGTGAATTTTTTCCTGGACATGGACTCTGGCCAGCCGCTGCTGCGCTGCCCCCATCACACCTCAACGTCAGAGCACAATGTCACTTCATCTTCCGCGCTATCTGGCCGCCACGATGGATGCAGGTAAGCTTGCTTTGCGTGCCCAGCCTTTTGGCGGCGGTGATGTGCTGCCGCGTGCGTGAGTTGAGTGGAGGTGGTGGTGTATGCAGTGGTGTATGGCTCATGGTGGTGTATGGCTCATGGTGGTGTGTGGTTGTTTGTTTTTTCTTCACCAGCTGCAGCCAACCTGATACGTTGGAGTCCAGACCCTCTCTCGCCCCTTCCAGTGACATGCGTTCATCTGTGTGCAATGTCTGTGATGGGCCTCATATCGTCGTCGTGGACACACACACAAACCACACCGTCCATACAGAGACAGACGCACAAGACCTTAGACAGGAGGAAGATCAGGTAGGGGGCGACGACTGGGTCGCAAAGGGGGGCCATCCTGGGTCCATGCGGCTACCCGCAACGGCACATCGGCGAGGTGGATATGGGCCAATGGTTCCCACTGCCGCCTTGCTTATTTCGCATATGGACGCCCGGTTCGCAAAACGTCCAGAGGTCCATAAACAGCAAACCGAAGTCCTCTTACTCAACGGGTCTCTGCAGATTACCGCACTCTACAAACCTTACGAAGCCATGTCTTCGGGGGTCGTCGGGGGCGGGCGGACAGCGCCAGCACACCGGTTGACTCCTGTCATGGACCCCATGGATGCTCAATTACGCCACTCACACAACCGCTTTGTGGGGGGCCACACTGCCTTTTTGACGGCTGCTTGCCTTGTAGCTCCCCGGCTTAGTGTGTGATGATGCAAGTTGACACCTGCCGGACCGCGGCGCGGCGGAGCGGGGAGGGGGGGCGGCCATGGAAGAAGGACACGGCCTGTTTTTCTGGGTTTTCGGGGAGGACCCGACGGAGGGAAAAACTTGGGCCATCTCTCTCTTCTGGTGTTGGATGTACAATCGGTGATGTATGATGGACAATGATGGAGGGCGCTGCGGCCATCAACGGCCCCCAGGGGCGGTTTGAACTCTGATCGACGGGCGACAGGACGTTTGGGAGCAGACACACTTTTTCTTGATTCTTGCTTCATCTTTACCTCGTTCAGTCATTGGGGTCCGTTGGTCTCCCCGCGGAGACAGATACACTCACATACTCACACACTCGCACACTCACACACTCACACACTCGCACACTCACACACTCACACGCTGCAGTTGCCCGAATGCCCGGGCGCTTTATTGGGCTGAAGCCGTGTGTCTTGGTTATGCCTGAGCATCCGCGTGGGCACTACCCCTTCGCCGAGGTCCAAGAACCAACCCGCCCTCCAAAAAAGTTCCAAAAAAGTCCCCAAAAAGCAACGACGATTAGGCGATAGTGTCTCTGCGATCGTTTCTTGTCATCGTCCCCCGTTTTCTTATTCCCGCGCATGCACCTCTTTTGGTTTCGCTCTTCGAGTCCCACGTACGACTAATCAACTCGCCGTTGGATCATCAGGTCATCGGGCAATCATCTCGTCCTTCCAGTTTTTCTGTCGTTTTCCTGTTTTCTTCTGCCGAGAGTTGAGTGATGGCGAGTTCGGGGGCGGCGGGGTCGGATGCGGGCGCGGGTGCGGGTGTGCATCCGGCAGCACCAGCGGCGGCCGCCACGGCGCCTTTGGAGGCGGATGTGAGTATGGAAGATGTCGCTGTTGGACTTCCCCACCACCCTATGCGTGGCTCTTTTTGGTCAACTTCTGGGCTGATCGCTTTTTGGGGGCAGGTTGGTGATGATGAAAATGACGGCGGCGATGCAGATTCCGCCATGGGGGAGGTAAGGACCTTTGCCGCCCGCGGCCGCCCGAGCCCCTCTCTCAGTCGCATTACGTGTCTACTCGGACATTCGGATACTGACATTCGGTTTTCTTGTTTTGGAGTCTGTGCTTGGGTCTTCAATGTCAATGACCAGCAGCATCATGCGATATCGCGAGGAGAACGGGAGGACCTATCACTCCTTCCGAGAAGGCAGTCAGTCATTCGTATTCATCTGTCATAACCCTTCATATCCCATCTGCCGAAAATTGTGCCAAAACTGACGGGGCCCCCCTTCCCAATTTCCAGGATATGTCTTACCCAACGACGCGGTAAGTAGCCACAATTCTGTTCCAAGCGAAGGGAGCCGAGGCCACGGAACCCGAGAGAAGAATAATTGCCCGTTGACACCCGAGTCAGGTTGAAAACGAGAGACTAGGTCAGCCAGACCCCTAGGCGGAAAAAAGCCGATCGCAAGATTGTTAGACATTTTGGAGCTAGCGCTGACGCTTTCATACGTGTGTGAGGGAAAAAACAGACCTCCAACATCACTTGTACACCCTCACGTTTGATAACCAGTTGTTTACGTGTCCGGCCGGCCGGGACAAGCCGCTCCGCCGGGTACTAGATGCAGGAACGGGGACGGGGATATGGGCCATGGACCTTGGTACGAAAAATGGGCACTCAGCCACTCTCTCTCTGTCTTTCACCCTGGGCCCACTTCACTTCGCTTCCTTCAATTCGCTTCCAACTTCCTTCGTTCTCTGGCTTGGGCCTTGGCTTTTTTTATTTCCCGGATGTTGAGTGCTGACTTTTTGTGGCTTGCGCTGGGTTTGACTGCAGCCGACGAGCATCCAGAAACTCTTGTGAGTTCATGCTGTGTTCAGCTTCCCACGCAAGGGGGGTTGGGGTGATTTTCATGTGGCTTACGGGAGATAGATTACCGGCGTGGACTTGAGTCCGATCCAGCCAGTATTGTCAGTATTGATGACTGCATAGCCAATCTGCTAGCGTCGCAGGAGCTAATGCATGCATTACGCCAAAACAACAGTGTTCCACCGAATGTCACATTCTACGTCGATGACCTGGAAGACGAATGGACGTATTCTTACAAGTTCGACTTCATATACGGCAGAATGCTAACAGGCTCGATCGCCGACTGGCCGAGGTTTATACGGCAAAGCTTCGAGTGTGTGCTCCCGCAAATGGCGGGTTCCTCGCGTGGCTGACGTGCCCCAGATTTCTTGAGCCCGGTGGGTGGTTGGAGCTGTCAGATATCCTACTCGATCTGAAAAGTGACGACGGTACCGTGACACCCGCATGCGCCGCTCAGAAATGGGCGACACACATGCTCGAGGCAGCGGCGGTTTGGAAGAGGCCGCTCGATAGTTGCAAGTTTTACAGAGAACAGCTTGCCGCAGCCGGATTCAAGAACATCAAGCAAGAGATTTACAAATGGCCGTCGAACCCGTGGCCGAAAGACCCAAAGTACAAAGAGCTAGGTATCAGGTTTCTAGAAAGAAAAGAGATCTGGCTCGCAACTAACATCGGGTCAGGCATGTGGACATATGAGAACCTTGGAAACGGCCTTTCGGGATTGAGCCTAGCATTATTTACGAGAGCACTCGGCTGGTCGCCAGCACAGCTTGAAGTGTTCCTGGCGGAGGCCAGGAAGGATATGAGGGACAAGTCGATACATGGATGGTGGCCAATGTGAGTTTTGCAATTCAGATTTGAGTGTATCATGTGCCTAATAGGTCTTAGATATGTTGTGTATGGTCAGAAGCCCGGTTAAATACAATCTCTATTGTTTTCGTTGTCGTCGTCTAAACAGTATGTTATCCACTATGATTCGGGCACGTCAGATTCGTAGCCCTCCACATTGAGAGGTGCCAACCCATGAGCTTCGACGTCGTGCCGAAAATAACGTTCGGCGTCGTCGCTGTAGTAGTAGTCGATCGTCTTTTGACGCCATTGTGCCCCGTGCCTGAGTAGACGCACAGAAGTGCCAGAAAAGTCGTGGCGAACAGCCAGGTCTAAGGGAGTCATGTCTTCCCTATTTAGGGCGTTCATGTCTGCCCCATTTTGGACAGCCTCAGGCACGGATTGCGACCACTTTTGGCCTATATAATGCAATGCGGTGTCCCCTTTGCCATCCGTTACGTTGGGATCGCAATGCCCCTCTGTAAGTAGATAGTCTGTGATGTCTTCCAGTCCACAGACAGCTGCTACATGGAGGGCGTGGAGCCCGTCATACGTGCGGACAACCAGAGATGATCCAGATTCTATCAAGTTTCTGCAGAGAACAAGTCTGTTCGCCGAAGAGGCCGCAGGGTCCTTGCCAGGCAGAGAAGACTTCAAGGCGAAGAAGAGAGCGTTCACGCCAAGTGATCTCGCAAGGCGTCGACGTGCATACGTTCCAGAAAGCCAATACATGTCCGATATACAGTATGAACAGAGTTCGAACTGACTGTGCCCGAAATCAACCTTTGCACCGTCAGTTGTTCTGGTGCTCAGCGTGCAGCGGGCGTTGGCATTGGCGCCGTGACTGAGCAGGGCGTCCACAGTCTCAATGTTACCACCAAACGCGGCCCAATGCAGCGCCACAGACGAGGATGAAACGCCATATTTGTACTCCCTTCTCAACGGCTGTTCGACGTTCTGGCGTTGAGTATGGTCTGGTGTCTCAATGTTGGCGCCATACTGCAGCGATCTCAGAACGCCGGCCAAGTTGCCCCTCTTGGTCGACAGCAGTAAGGCTGAGGAGTGATTGTAAAGATTGTCCCACTTGTAAAGGAGAGGTTGAACATGCTCGTGAAGGTCCCTGCAAGTCTGTGACATGTTGACAATATCTTGCCAGTGGTCAAATGTACTGTCAACGCGATACTCACTTCTCACAGTGATCCCATCGTCGTACCGGCTGCCGGTGTCAGGAACGAAAACAAACTCTGCAATCAAGCACATAATCTCGCCGGGCAGATGCTGAATACTTGTTATCGTGATGTTGAAGGGAGTAATTGGTTGTGGCGGTGTGAAAAAAGAGCTGCCCACTAGCGACTCTCACCTGCTTTATTTACCCCATAGGTAACTATAAAGGTTTCTCTGTCCTAGGGTTTCCTGGCCCTCAAATATCTATCTTTCAGGGTCATGCGGCAGTCACAAAGTGTGCCCAGAGGCCGCAAACTACGAGAAGGAAAGTGACAAGGGAAGAAGGACGAAGACAACGACGAAGACAACGACGAAGATAACGACGATAACAACAATAACGATAGCGACGATAGAAGCGACGACGATTGAAGCAATGGCAACGACGACAACAACCATAATGATAATGATATAAAGTAAGTATCTTACAACCACAGGAGAAGTAATCGCTTTATCACGAGAGAAATAGGCGGTTTCATTTCAAACACCTTAGAAAATCTGTTACAGTTTAAGATCGTGTGGAATAAATGTAATTGTGTTTTCCACATGGCAATGCCGAGCCAAGGTTTAATTCCCGCCCGCTCAGCTAGACTTTGCACATGTAAACTAATCGCTGGGAAAGGCCATTCGCGATAAAATGCAGCATGGCTAGGAACGTGAGCAGCCGGTCCAGAAACCGAGAAATACTTGTTTCTCGATCTTCATCACGTCGTATTCGCCGCGGACGAGGTTTTTTCACCAAAGCCTACTATGTTTTACTTGCACCTCATTCGGTTTTCTACCTGTCCCTTGTCAAGTCCGTTCTTTCAAACATTAATGTCGATACCACCCGTATGTTTTGCAACACTACAGGAGCTCTACTCGACCTGGATGCTGTGTATATACTGGGTCTTCAGGACATAGTCAACAATACCTAGTACATTTGTGACATAGTCATAAGCTAAGTCACTGACCACCGCCATCAATGGTCTTTCGGAATGGTGCCCCTGGAATGTGCGTAAGCACGATGCTGCCAAGCATCCTTCAGAGCCTTGGACAGTCACAAGCGCCAATTACGATCGCGTTATTTCTTGCTGCCTTCGAATTGTCGTCGGCCAAGCCAATTATCCGAGACCGACTTCGTCTGACAGCGTCACACCACTATTTGACGAAGGTCCCTTTACATCCCCGTTTGATCCGGCGTTTGCTAATAAAACGTCGAACTTTTTGCTCCATCCTCTTCAAGTTTCTCACTTCACATCGCAATTGAGATCATCATGCCGTTAGGACTCGCTGCAATCTATCCTGAGGGAACCGGTGACAGAATCGGGATTTCTTCGCGTTTGCAACAAGATGGAGACGTGATACAACCTCCTGTCCCTTCAACCGCGCCAAAATCCCCGCCAAAGGTCTCTCCTCAGAGAACAACGACGACGCAAACCTTCAACCATTCTAATGATGCGCATCCCGATCTGCCGCCGGACGACGACCCCAATACCGACATGCCAAAACTCTCAGGGACTACAATTGCTCTGACTATGGCGTCACTCTGCCTATCAGTCGCCCTCTCAGCTCTGGACATGACTATCGTGACCACGGCTATTCCAAACATCGTGGCATCGCTCGATTCGGTCGCTGGGTACATCTGGGTAGGCTCGGCCTTCATTCTCGGCTTCACCGCCGTGACGCCCATCTGGGGTTCCGTCGCAGACCTCTGGGGGCGGAAGCCAATCATTCTCTTGGCTCTGACGATTTTCCTGGTCGGAAGTCTCCTGTGCGCGCTCGCGCCACATATGGACGCCCTCATCGCCGGCCGCGCCGTTCAAGGAGTCGGCGCCTCCGGTATGGGTGTCATGGTCAACACCATCATTTGCGACATGTTCTCGCTTCGCGACCGCGGCCTGTATCTTGCCATCACCTCCATCATTTGGGCCATCGGCAGCGCGGTAGGCCCCGTACTTGGCGGTGTCTTTGCGACAAGACTGGAGTAAGTTCCGCCCCCTGTCACTCAAGCAGCGCGATGAAATCGAGATGTCGTTTGCTGACTGTCCTTTTACCAGTTGGCGATGGTGTTTCTGGATCAACCGTGAGTGAATCTGTATGTGTCAATTGGAGAATGAAGACTAATTAACAATCAAGTACCGATCGGCGGTGTGGTCTTTATTGTGCTCTTCTTCTTCCTCGATCTCCCATCCCCCAATACTTCCGTCGCGGCCGGACTTAAGGCAATTGACTGGACAGGCAGTTTATTTTGCATGGGCGGGTCACTGATGGTGCTTCTCGCTCTGGACTTTGGCGACGTCACGCACCCCTGGTCTTCCGCTACGGTCATCTGTCTCATCGTCTTCGGCCTTGTCGCCATTGGCATCTTTCTCATGAACGAGTGGAAGCTTGCCGCCAATCCCGTGCTTCCCTTACGGCTACTGTCAAGCTGGTCGAAATCCGCCGCATACTTCGTCTTCGCTTTTAACGCTTTCGTCTTCATCGGCATCACGTACTATCTGCCTTTGTATTCACAAGCGGTGTTGGGAGTCGACGCATTGACGTCTGGGCTGTACCTGCTGCCACTAATAGTCTCCTGCTCGTTATCTGCGGCTTGCGCAGGGGTGTTCATCCAAATGACTGGTCGTTACCGGGTGCTGATGTACGCAGCGCAGGTTCTCCTGACACTAGGCACCGGGCTCTTGATCAATCTCGAGTTCGAACGCAACCTAGCAAAGCTCTTCGTATTCCAGATCCTCACCGGCATTGGCGTCGGCCTCAACATTGAAGCTCCTGTCCTGGCGGCTCAGGCTGCAACCACGGTACGCGACACAGCTGCCGTGCTGGCAACAATGAGCTTCCTGCGCTCCATCGCGACAGCCATCTCTGTCGTTGTTGGTGGCGTCATCTTCCAGAATCAGATGAAGGCAGGGAACTCAGCCTTAATTGACCAAATTGGTCACGACTTAGCAAGTCGGTTCGACGGGGATAACGCTTCGGCTCATGTGGAAGAAATTGGGCTACTTTCGACAGATCAGCAGATACCTGTGAGACAGGCCTACTTTGGAGCACTGAGGACGGTATGGATTATGGTAAGTGGTTGCTAGGTGCATCAGGTCCACTTGAGCGTGGAGTGCTTCGAGAACCCTGACAAGTCCTCCGTTGCTAACATTGTCGAACAGTATGTCGCCTTTGCGGGGTTAGCAACGGTGCTGAACCTGTTCGTGTCTGAATATCATCTGAGCGACGAGAGAAACGCGGTCGTTCTCGGTGTCGACAGGGGAAATCCTGGCCCGTCGGACCAACCAGGTCGAGAGGTCGACATACCTCTGGAGACATCAGGTCGGCAACGCGATGAGAATCAGCAGCATACCCTGAGGAACAGAGGAGCATGATAGCTAAGTGTGATAGAGGTACTGACTTGAATCGCCTGCGCTATGGTGTAAGTTCATGTAGGCGGCTTGATCCCACCCTGTCGGTCCACCCGCCTAGCCAGAACTGAAATGGCTTTACAAATTCGATTGTCTTGAAAACTTAGAGGCAAGCTGCAGTATGTGTGCATAGCAAACCGTGACCGAAAAGGATGCATGATTAGGCCCACTAGAAAGGTCGCTGTTTCCTTAGGGAAGATTCCTTTTCACGCAAGCTCCACATGATCCGTATGCCCTGCCGAGACCTCCTATGCTTCCTACGTTTCCTATCTTTACTTTGATTATCACCATTGTCACCATCGCCGTGATATCGCATCGCCTATACTGTCGTCACCTATCATCGATACTATTTTCTTTACTACTGTTGTCCTCACAGAAGTAAGTTAGGGATCACTGCCCGGGTAGTCAACTGACACTGCCTGGCTAGCAAAACTCTTCGTTTCGTATCACCCCGCAAACAGAGATCACGATCCCATTATGCCACGACTGTCAGATGAAGATGACGGCGTCGAGAAACCAACTCCTGACATTCTTTCCCTTCCGGCAGACGTCTTTCTCCTAGTTACCGACGCTATTCTTGAGGCCGAGACCCTTGATACGAATCAGGGTGTGGGGAAAGGCCTTACTATATATGACCACATCAAATTCTTTGGCAAAGGTGAATTTTGGTGGCAGTCATTGGATCAGGTGGAGTTGAATTGGGGCGCGTTCGATAGATGGAGAGATCTAGCACGCTTCGGAGCGACTTGCAAGACGCTCTATTCGATGGTGACCCCCATATTGTATCGATCTGATACAAAGTACAACTACTCCTCTGCATTGATTATATCTGCAAGGAAGGGCGTACTTAGTGGAGTTCTTAGGTCCCTGGAGTACGGAAAGGCCGACACGAACATGGATGATCACACTCTCTTCTTCCACTGGGCTCGGGTACGCGGAGTATGCCAGAAACTCCCGCCACTGAAGATTTCGAGGGAATGCATCTTACCCCCCCTTACCAGCTTGCATCTTGCATGCTTCAAATATCATCCTGAAATCGTCGACGCACTTTTGAATCACCAAGCCGATATTAATAAAAGGGCCAACGCATGGTGTACCAGAGAGATTGGTGAACCTTACCGTCCATATGACCAGTATGGTATGTTTGGGGTCACAAAATGGGAATTTGTCGCCGACAAGCATACACATAGTCTAGTGCCTCTGTTCGGAGCGAATGCGCTCTTTTTAGCGCTCAAGGCAACTCAGTACAACTGTGACTGTTCCGGTAAGTAAATATCTGCGCTCAAACCGTGGCGTTTTGTTTATGCTAACAGCTATGAAGGATGCACGAAATGGGCCTTCATGGAAGGTCTTAAAGGTATCAAGGAAGATGCTATTACGCATGATGTAAAGGCTGTTATGAAAGGTTCCCATACATGGGATATCGACACGGTAGCACGCCTTTGCCAAGCTGGGTGCGACCTCATCACAAGGCAGTACGGAAATTTACATGCCTTACATCAGGCATGTGTTATGGTCTCTTCGAAATAGCAGAATACCTGATCCGTGGTTTGCACGTTGACGCGAATGTCCGGGATAACAATGGACTCACTCCGTTGCACTATATGGCGATAAATCAAGAATTATTGTGGGAAGATATTGACTTACATGAGGTTGATGTTGATCCAATGGAGAGAACATTTTTTCTCCTCCTCGCTTCTGGCGCAGACGTCAACGCCAAAACTAACTCGGGTGTCACAGCCATTCAAGACGCGTTGAGATCACCTGACGGCCTACATTTGGCGGGTTTGCTGCTGTGGAACGGATGCAAATGGGACCCCGAGTACGAGGCTATCTTGGATAGGAATCGTCGCGCACACGAGGAAGATAAAAGAGAGATTAGGAGGACGCTGAGATATATCAGGATCAATGGTCCAGTCAAAGGGTATAGATTTTTGGCCGATGAAGGCCAAGACGCTTGAGTGAAGTAGGTGCCCCTGGTTGAAGTTCTTTCAACCAGGTGAGAGGCAGGGATTGCGGAAGGAAACAAGTATATATTGTAGCTCGAATAAATTGGCGCATACGACGTCACTACTGCTCGGTATTGGTTTTTGACAAAGTCAACGAAGAATGAGATTCTTTACTACCTAACTTTGTACCCCGTAGGTGCGTGTTCGAGTGTCTGTGTCAAGTTCGCTGGTTATAATTTGGAGAGGATTAGTAATCCTACTATGACATTCTTTGCGGTAGGCCTCCCCGCGACGGTAGCTTCAACCGCTTGTTTTGTTCATAACAAGTGCGAACATGGCATATAGAGGACGAGCATCCAGGGGATGCCTCAATTGTAAGGAGGGTAGAGTCAAGGTAGGAATATTCGGCTTGCTCAAGTTTCCTCTCGTCGCTCCCTGCTCACAGTCCCCCGACCAGTGCGACGAGGAGAAACCAGCATGTTCACGGTGCCGACGCCTCAAGTACGTCTGCCCCGGCTACCCAGACCAGTGGACCCTAGTACATCGCCAGCAGGACACACACGCCAAGGAGCATGTTCGAAATAGAGTCGAGAGGGCTCAGAGGCGTCGAGCTGAGGCTGGTGGAGGTCAGCTCCAAGGGAGAAACATCACTTCACCGTCGCCGGCCTGGACGCCATTTGTCGGCCCTGAGACGCCGAGTGTCTACAAATTCTTCACTGACTACACCTCGAGGTCTGGCATTGATTACCTCACATCTTTGAAAGACTGCTATGCATTGCAGCCTGCTTCGTGTCTTGCCAACGCCATTCACGCCGCAGCGCTGGCCAGCGTGGCCCGCCAGCGCTCCGAAGTCGGGCTAATGGATCGCGCGCGGTTGAGGTATGGAAAGACGATCCGCGAAGTGAATAGGGTGATCCAGGATGATGTCTTGGTAAGAGATGACTCGGTGCTCGTTGCGCTGTTTGTCATGGGTTTATTTCAGGTATGAAGCTGCAGAATGTCCTTTGCTCACATTGTTCACAAGACTCTGCAGGTCATCGCGGCAGAGTTTGCTCCGGACCTAAACCCGACTTCTGAGCCGGGGTGTCATCCCCATGCTCGTGGGGCGCTGACGTTTTTTCGCTATCGAGCGCAGTACCGGCTGAGCAACGCGCTGGATCGCACTCTACTTGTGATATTCCAGCATCTCAGGGTATTGTCCCATTCTCCCATTCCACTCAAATAACCGATCACTCTGCTGACTGGAATATCAGCTGGCAGACCTCTTCACGACATCTTACATGATCCCTCCCCTCTGGTTCGAACTTGAAGCGTTCATCAACTCTCTTGGCCGGGGTTCTTTGCTGGATCCCTTGGTTCGACGAGCCGTGAACATTAAGATCCGTTTCATGTCCGCAACATTAGGGCAAGCCTCTGATTCTCTCGCAGATTTTGTCAGATCCGGCGTTTTGGTGGCTCAAGACCTTCAAGATGCTGCCAACAACATAACCTTCGACCCCAAGTTCGATGGTCCGCCGCCCGCCGTGTTCAATGCACTCATTAGCATCTCGAGCGTCACCCACGCCGCTGTCGCAAAATGCCTCTATTTGACAGTCCGACTACACATATTTGAAATAATCTCAAAAGCAACCAGTGACCCATTGGACGACATGAGCATGCATCTCGGCCAGCAGCTGTTAAGCATGCCAGCTGCTGCACCTTCTCCGGTGAATGAACTAGGCAAGGCACTCGGCTGTGATGGGGGCTCGACCCAGAACAGCCCAGGCGTGGGCATGCTAGTCTTTTCACTCCTCTGGCCGATGACGGCCATGCTTCAGTCTAACCTGGTTGACGAGTACAGCAAAGGCTGGGTCGCGTGGAGGCTTCGGGAGCTCGGCGCCGCCTGTGGATTTGGTCTCGCGGAAACTATCGTCTCACAGATGCCTAGTGGCGACCAAATCGAACCAGCTATATAAAAGGCTCCTTGGAGGTCGGACACCTCGGCCTGCGAAAATTATTAGTACCAGGGTGAAAGTTTGGCTGTTGGAAGCACGGTAGCGTGCACGAGCTGAGATTGAGCATTTGACTTGAGACACTAGGATGAGGTTTCAATTACGGCCAATCATGATTCGCCATCGCTCACATCACCCAAAATGGTTTAGTCTTGATGTTCTGTGTTTGCAGCTGTGCAGCAACATTTCCAACCCACAGGCGACGTGGAGGAATTATAAAATCAAGCCCATTCACCTGGAACGTAGTATTAGGTCGATCATTCTCATCTCTCCATGTCTCACCATTTGATCAATATCTCTTTTCTGTGTTCTCTTTCAGAATCCAAACTGCACCGACCATGACATCTGGAACTTGTCTCTGTGGGGCCGCCAAGGTCACCATCAAGGGCGATCCGTTAGCCGTTGTAAGTGGATAGCTTCCAACCAAATCGCAGAATCTGCAAAGCTCATACAGACTGCCTAGGCCATGTGTCACTGTCTCGACTGTCGCAAGACCTCTGGCAGTGCCTTTGCCATCAACTGGGTTGTTCCAGCCAGTCAGTTGTCGGTCACTGATGGGGCAAGTCTCAAGGAGTTCACCGCTCCCGCACTCAGTGGCAACCCGGTCACCAATCACTTCTGTGGCTCCTGCGGCACGACGCTATGGCGAGACGGTCCAAAGACGCAGGGGCTTTGCTATGTCAAGGCCGGCGTCTTGGACGATTCCGATGCTGTGAACATGAAAAAGCCGTCGGCTGAGATCTTCACGACGAGGAGGATCGAGTGGATGAAGCCGATGGAGGGTGCCCTGCAAAAGAAAGAGCTGATGGAATGAGATGACCTTCATCTCAGAATTTCTCGCCGACAGGGGGCGGGAGAATTAGCTTAGGTAGTCAGGCATTGTCTGGTCACTGCTGTTGAAGATTGGTGGGAGTTTCATAGCAGCAAATCTAATGACTTCTGCCTCTCCAGTTCTAATTTCGTAAAGCCGGTTGCAGCTACTCCTACTTATTGAGACTATGCCTGGGCGCTGAAGTCGATTTTCGCCCACTAATTCGGCTTGTAGTGAGTGATGAAGTAGAAACGGGATATATAGTAAATTCACTGTGATGCTTGACGAGGGTTAGTATGCACTGATCCACTGTTACGGTGCTGGACCGTCCAGAAAGGATGTCACTGAACAAGAACCCTTGCGATTCCATGAGAATTCACCGTGATGAGAACTTTCCCAGACCTGATCTGATTCTTCTCCCAAAATAACGACACTACTTAAAAACTATTTAGTTTCTCCCCTATCACAACGCAGGGTAATCCCACTCACTTGAATCAATCCTTTCCGGCGGAGGCAAAACCAGCATGGCTCACGGTAACCGATTACCAATAAGGGCCACTGAAGAATCTAAAGTCGCGAGAGCCACGAAAGCTGCCAGACGGGCTGCCTCCAAACAGGCAAAGAAAGCATCAAGAGACACCAAAAACCCCGAAGCAAACCTCCAATGCATGCCAACCGAATTGGTATTAGAAATAGTCGACAAAATACTCGAAGAATACCCTCTAGGTGGCTATACGAAATATGAAGAGATTAGAGTTGGATGGTATGAATCACAAGACTACTTGAGCTTCAAAGGTGTCAGAGACGCCATACACCTTGGCGCCACGTGCAGGAAAATGCACACAATCATTGCCCCCTTTATCCACGAACATGACAAGAAAGTCAACTTCTCTTCAGCGCTACTGCTTTCAGTTAAGAAGGGCTCAATGGAAGGTGTCATCAGAGCTCTGAGCCATGAGCAGGACATCAATACGGCTGATCGAACGTTGTTCGACATTTTCATCGTGGACAGTGATGGACATGATTACTACAGTGAGTATTGGAGAATCCCGATTTTCTCTACTCTCACGTCTTTGCATTGGGCCTCTTTCTATGGAAACGTGGAGCTCGTCACATATCTTCTTGCAAACGGCGCGGACGTTCAACAGCGAGCCGACCTCGGATTTCAACACAGCCTCGAAACATATGAATCTGGCGATCATTGGGAGTCCGAGACCCTCCGCTGGAGCCATTCGCATCGAGCTATGATGACTGCCACAAAAGAGCAATATGATGCATTTCCGATATATAGCGACCTCGAGATCCCAATTGGAGCCAATGCGCTATTCTTTGCTTTGAAGGGCAGCCCGAGTCCCATTCATCGTATGAAGTGGGATGCGTCGACATTCAAAGAGGATGACCTTTTAGTCACCGAAGACGAAAGTGGCTATCGTCTTGCAATTACGAAACGTCTGACTCGGGCAGGCTCGTCTCTCATCACCTGCGATGCGACCAAATTTCACGCTTTGCACCAAGCTGCAGCTTATCGTGACATTGAGGTCGCAACATATTTATTGGATGAGCTTAACGTGGATCCAAATGTTCGAAATACAGATAACGAAACGTCACTCCACGTTCTTGCCAGAAATCGCACACATGGCCCATACAACCGCACGTGCGAGATGGTAGAGCTTCTAGTGGAGAGAGGAGCAGACGCGAACCTGAAAGGTCCGCATGGCCTTACGCCGGGAGAGATGGGTCTGTCGATTCCTGCCGTCTGAGGAGGGTTGCCGAGAGGCGAAGCAATAGTATCTGCCGCTATTTGCGTACGTATTCTTCAAATAGTAGATACAAATTATTGCAGATATTTTTGAATCAAGATTTTTCTTTACAGCAGCACAAAAGATTTTGAATACCTTTTTGCGGCAAGGTAGATATGTTGCAGCCTAGAAGCCAGCCACGAATGCAGGTTAGGTTCAACAAGCCGTTCCGAGGCATCGCAGATGCATTGCGCCTTGCGTCAACCTGCAAATACCTCTACAAGATCATCAGCCCAGCAACCTACAAGCACGACATCAAGCGCCACTACAACTCTTCTCTGCTGATATACGCGAAGAAGGATAACATCATCGGCGTGAAAAAGGCCGTTTCGCACGGCGCAGATGTCATGGCCTACGACCAGACCAACTTCGACCACTGCCGCGAGGCACCTTTCGCAAGGCGTGGCAGAATCAGCGTTGTGAGAGAACCTACGCTCCTTTGCATGACCTCCTTAACATGGGCATGCTTCAACGGGAATGCAGAGCTGGCCAAGTTCCTCCTCGACAGTGGTCATGCGCAGGCCGCGTTGGGTGGACTCGGGTATACGCGATACGTTGGGGTCTGTGGCAAGCTTTATGAGTTGGGGCTTCTGATGAAACTTCACCCCTCTCGGGCAATGCTTTGTTACACTCGGAAGGAGTACGAAGAGATGAGAATCGCCGATCGCAGCGGCCAGCGCTGGGACGCTGAAGTATTAACCGACATGGGAGCAAGCCCTCTTTTCTTTGCCTTGAAATCCTGTCCCGACGAGTTACGGTCGCAATGGCAGTCAATGAGATGGCGCAACAACCACCCTGTTGTCGAAAGCGACGTCAATGGCAAACGGCTTGCGGTAGCACGAGTCTTGATTGAGGCCGGCGCGAGCTTGATAACTCGTGAGCGTGGCAAAATTCATGCCATTCATCAAGCTTGTGCCGCCCGAGACATTGATGTCGTCAGCTATCTTCTCAATGAGCTGGGAGTCGACCCCAATGTCACTTGCGAGAACGGCAATACGCCCCTTCATTTCATGGCGATGAACCTCTATCACAAGCGACCCTCAGGGCAACTCCGCATCGACTTCCCTCCGGGACGTGAGAAGTCAGTCATTGACATGCTTATCAGCAAAGGAGCTGACCACTCATTGCGAAACAATGATGGAATGAAAGCCGATTTCATGGGATTGAGTTTCACCGAGCAAAACCGGACAGATTCCATGCGGAGGAGTTGGGAGCGACTAATGGAGACACAGAGGAGAATACAGACGGAGAGAGCTAGAGAAGATGAGCGACGGACAGTGGGGATACAGGAGTGAGTGGAAGAACTCAAGAGAGACCTTGCGATGACGACAGCGAAGGAAATGGAGAGGGACTAGAGGTACCTAAGAACACACACACACTGACATATCAGTCGACGAATATTAACCGGCTGATTGCCAGTGAACTAGGGTCAGCAGAATCCTCTGGTCCTATAATACCATTGAACTCCAACGTTCACTGTTTTTAAGAAACAAGTATCGATCTCCTTCGTGCACGGTGCATCTTTTCTGGAAGCCAGTGGGGTATGCATCTCACAAATAATAAATCAAACCCCTTTTTTGGTGTGGGGGGACCCAATGTTCCCAGACTACTACCACCAAAGGTTTTTCCAGTCTGTCTCTGAGAACATTGAACTCTTCAGCTTACCTGCCCGAGACGGCCATCAACCAAGCAGGATACCAATATCGAGAACGCATTAGGGAGGTATTTGCATCAAATAGCGAAGAGGTATGATTCTTGGTCTTTTGTTTGTGCCCAGATCATCTCGACATTTTCCTTTATCTCTGTGAAGAACTATCCTAAAGAGTTCCCTCAAGTGGAAGAGCCCAAAGCTCGCAATACATGTCGAAGGCGGTATGTCGGGCCTAGCGAAGTTGTGAGCATCGCCTGACAGCCATGAACTAAGGAGGATGCTTACTGTCTTGGCTCAGTCTTCAACCACACTTGACCCAGTTCGGGCACCTTCCTCCAGGGTTGCACACCTCGGCACAGTTTCCGCTGGCAGGTCGTGGGAGTGCCGCGCACCCAGAGGCATCGGAAGTTCGGTTGCACTCACAGTGGCACGTGCCCTGTGCAACGATTGTGGCAACTTGTGCCGCGATGAGGAAAAGAGCTTGCAGACGCATTTTGAGGCTAACCGTTTTGGTCAGAGAGTCAACGAAAGTCTGAGAATTCTAGATCAAAACCACCTATTGCGATAAGCTATAGAGAAATGAGTGTGATGAAATCATATCGATCGAGTTCAGTCGACGGAATGCCAGCTTTTATAGATATTATTTTCCTGGTTTTACAATCGTTGCGATTGAGTCAGTTGGATTTGCGTCTCAGAGTCTTGTTTCTGTAGATATCTAGAAGTTGCCTTTTCTGTAGAGTTGAAGCAAGTCGTTAAAGGCTGTGTAGGCTGTACAGCTTGCTGCATAACCTTGACTCGTATCGTATACGACCCCTACTAGATAATGATGAAGGCAAATGTACGTCTGAGACACCAGGAAACTCATTATTACATGTTACGCCCTGTGCTGTCTGGAAAGACCTGCGCACAGGACAGCAAGCCTACCGTGACGGCTGCAGGAACTGGCACCAACCTAGACAACAACAATCCTCCTTGTTCCTGGGCCCGGTAAGGGACTGAGCCCGGAGACTTTAATCCCAGACCGGAGATCGGGCGAACCATTCCTTTGCTCGGGGACTTAAGTCTTTCGATGGGCCTTCGCGGGAGCGCCAAGTTGGAAAAAGCGGCATAGCGTATCCGTAGAGCTGTCTGTAGTTATTCTGACGTTTGGGTAAACTTTGGGCCAAGTTGCCGATCCTAAGTAATTGGTTGGAAGTCTTTCGTATCACGCCCATATATGGTAAGTCATGTAAACTTTCTTATATTGAGCCGATGGGATAACCAACCAGCCAGCAGCCCGCCGCCTCCGAGTCAGGGGCCCGGTCCACTAATGAAAATGATCAGTTGTATGCAATTTTGTCTATTCGTAAGATAGCTTGCCCTTTCGAGCTGGATAAGGAAAGTAGCCGGAAACATAGGGGAACCCCGAGATCATATAACATGAGCTCTTTGTTTTCGAAATTCGGTCTTGGAGATGGAATAGGTTTTGTATCAAACGCAGAACCCTTACTACGTACTTAATTCCATTTTCGAAAGGCTTCATCATCCTCCTGCAGCTTATACCTCTTCAACATGTTGTTCTCAGAAATTTTCGCTGTTCTTCTTGCGTGCGCCAGTGTCGCGGCGGCGGATTGCCGGACTCAGAGCTACCGGGGCACTGTGTACCGGGACGGCACTGCGGCCGAGTGCACTGGAAGGGCAAGCGCTGTCTGTCAGGCCGGGCAGACTCAGGAAAAGCTGCGGTACAGCTACGACGGGGACGTGTACAATGAGGGCAACGGTTGCGCAGTTGCGGTGAGTAGCCCGAGTGCGAAGTGGGACATTATTCTGATCAGACATATCTTTAGGTCACTTGCTGCACGAAGTAATTGACATGGACGTCAACCGCACTCGTGAGACATCTATCAAGTGCTGCGTAGATGAAGGCGCACCAACGCAACTTCACTGTTGACGCTGAAGACGAAGATGCTCACGGGAAGGGTGGTGGGATGGAGACGCAGAGGACGAGGGGATTGGTACGCGTGGTATGGAGAGTTACTACGGGCAGAAGGAGGATAATGATACAGGAGGTCGAGAGAGTCGACGATTGAACTGAAGGCGACAGCGATGGAAATCGTAGAAGAGATCGCCAAGGAGCTGGTAATGATGAAGGCAAACGAGGATGACGGAAGACAGAAGGTGTAATACCAAACCTAGGGTAATACTGCGCGCTAGCAAAACATATAGAGTCATGTGAGGGTGACCAAGCAATATAAAATAGGTCAGCGATACCCATCTATCGTGTTTCATAATGTTGTATCTGCTGAAGGAACAACCGGCTTTGTGTTGATTGTACAAACAGGACAAGATGCAGTGGGTGACTTGGTCACCTCGGTGATGAAGCGACCAAGCAAAGAATCCTGCACAGCAAGGAAGCCTTCGAGAACATCGCACAGCGGACACAGCATTAATAACATCATTGAATAGAAGAGGATGAATTATCAATTAAACATCTATCCAAACCTTTCCCCAAACCCCCTTTTCTCCCTTCCACCATCTAGTTCCAGCTGCAAGGGACCTGGATAACCCAATCCGGGTAAATCAAATCCTTGTTCGTGATGCGCGCAGAGTTCATCTGCTGCAGCTTGTCGGCCGTCGTGCAGAAGTCGTACGCGATGCTGTTCAACGTGTCGCCCGACTGGATCACGTACGCGCCGTCGGTGGCCGTGTTCTTGGCGCAGTCGCGCTGGCGGCCCGCGTTGTAGTGGCACGGCACCTTGAGGTTCATGCCCGGCTTGATGCTCTGCAGGTTGTTCCACTGCTTGATGACCGCGGGGGAGGTGCAGAAGTCGGCCGCGATGGCGTCGAGCGAGTCCGAGGAGGTCGTGTAGTACCAGCCCTCGGAGGCGGCGGTGTGCTTGCAGGCGCGGCGCAGGCCGAGGGTGGAGCCGAAGGTGGCGGCGAGGACGAGGAGGATGTCGGAGCGCATCTTGGATGAATGAGTGTGGTTGGTCTGGGGGGTGAAATGAGTGTTGATAGTTGGAGGTGGGTTGGGGAAGAAAGGGTCCTGGAGACGGAGGCAAGGAGGATGCTCGCGATGTTTATATATATATCAGAATATTATTGAGCATGGACAGTCTTCGCCCAGCAACTCCCGTCTTTCGTATTGCTTAGACAGAGGGCCTCTCATTAAAGCTTAAACCACCAAGTTGAAAAGCTTCCCGTCCGGAAAGAATGTCAACATGCGCCCGCCCGCCCCCAAAACCCGTCCCATCTTGCGATGAACCCGTCGCACGGACTGCTCCGCCTTCCAGAATGCTACTCTATTAGACTTCACGACAGCCCTACCGCT